TTGCTCTTCTGCATAACTGGAATGGAAGTTCACCATTTGAAGGCTCAAATCTTATGCGGGGAATGAATGCTGTGTGTCCTGCAAATTCTCCTCCCAGAATGTGTACTTCTAAAACTCGGGAAGAGGCACGGGTGAGGATTGCCCGGGTTCCATTGCATTGTCCATTTGCTGGATCAATATTTCAAAGGATCATTACTGGTGCACCTATCTTGAGTTTCAATTTTGCTAGAGGCATTCCACTAAGGTTGATGGAATTGAGGTATTCTACTGGGTATTCAAATTCACCATCCACACCTCCTTCTCTCATAATAGAGTCTGCTGAGTGAAATGTAAATTCATTTCCACGCATGCGTTGAAGTATCGTTTCATTGAGATCATCAACATCATTATTTCAAGCTGTTAAAATGGTCCAATCAAGGAAATACTGGTCATTTCTTGCATTTTGAGACAAAGTGGTTAGGCCAGGATAGAGAGCATTAATTAGAGATGCAACATCATTCCCACATTTCATTCTTTCTGGCAGAAGAGTAGAACCATCTGCATTTGTATGCTTCCCATGCCCAATTTCAATAAGCCATTGTGCAAAGTCTTTTTCTTCCTGTGAAGTATTCTCCAGACGCATATTCTCTTTCAAAGTCAGAATGTTGACAGATGTCCAGAGATGTGATTGCTGAAAACACTGGCTGACAATTTGTTCCTGTCCACCTTTGACAACTACTGGAAGAATTTGTTGAAAGTCTCCTCCAAAAATAACAGTAACTCCACCAAATGGTACATCTGGTTTTGCAAATTACCCACTTGTGCAGCCATCCCAGGAGTAAGGTGAAGAATTTGACCATTATATAGAACCTCAACAAATGGATCATCACCTACAAGACCTTGAGGAATTTGAAGAGGAGCAACAGGGGGTGGAATAGGGAAAGGAAGAATAAAAGGTACACCACCACCAACAGCAGGATTTTGAGGTGTTCTCCTATGCTCAGGACTTTCCAACATCCTTTCTTGACGCTCTCTTGCCCTCTCAATATTTCTATGCCTTTGTGGAGTATT